GCTTTTCCAATGTACACAGTCACTACACAATGTTATCAAGCTTGCCCCAAGCTGACGCTCTACGTGTGAGACCTAGAAGAAGAATCTACTATTAATAAAAGAAACAAATCTTACTTTCAATGGCTTTCCGAAAGTCTCTGACACACTGCTCAATCCCCACCATGTAAAACTCCTGAATTCTGTATTTGGGAAACACTTTATTGTGCAGAACATGGCTGATTTTCTACAGGAAAAAAACGAGCATGGTTTAAATTATGTGTATGTGTACATAAGTGAGCGTGTATGTGTGTGGGAAAGAAAGAGGTGGTTGGCAGGGGAGACGGAGAAAGGAAGACAAAGAGAGACAAACAAAGATAGATAAAGAAACAAAAAGACAAAGAGAGACAGGCAGAGAATGACACAGGCATGAAGAAACAGAGAAAAAGACACAGAGAGAGGAAGAGACAGAGAAAAACACAGACAGAATGAATGAATTAAGAAACTATTTTTAAAGGATCACAGGCCCTTCTAACATTCCACCTTCTAATCTCTCTCCTCTCATATATCATTTTTTTTTCAAACACCTTTTAACAGCAGCTAAATATCAAATATAAGCATTGGAATATTCTCAAATTCTTCTTCTCCTTTTTCTTCTCTTCCACCTTGTAACTCAGTGAAGTGTCAGGGGAAGATGTAACGTTCGTTGATGAGCTCTGTATTAAGATTGATGCTCATTTCTGTAATGCTTTTCTTAATGCCATCACTCCATATTTTCCTAGGTCTTCTGCTCGCTCTATACTCATTGTAATGTTTCAGTGTGGCTCGCTGTGGTAGATAGTACCAGGGCATTCTTGTTAGGTGTAAAATTACACATACAGTTTTAACCACAGTAAATCATAGTAACTGTAATAAATCTATGGGACGTAAAATAGTGCATTTTTGTATACTTTTTATTTTAAGAGGCATGCTTGGATAATATCTTAGCAGTTTCTGATAGTAAGCAAAGTGGCTAGTGGTATTTTTTACTGCTTGTGGAAGGCAGTTGCACAGTTGAGCAGCAGAGTATGCTAAACTTGTTTTGTATAGGTCTGTCTTAGATGAAAGAGATAAAGAGAAGCAGAGAGACAAAGAAACATTAAAGAAAACCACTAAATCATCATCTAAGTTTTTACAAGATTATTTACATTACCACATAAGGACTATTCTAGGGTGGAATCTGGCCCACGGAGGCCTTGCAAGTGGCCGGTGGATCACCGCCACATGTACTCTATTAGTGATCTTTCTATGCTGGTGCTTGATTGAGAACTTAGCCCATGACGACCCCCATTTTCAACATTTTGGCTCTGAGTCAATTTAGCTGAACAGACCTAACCTACATACTGAACAAACAAACAAAACGGTAAAAATCTACACATTACGTCAGTTAAATATGCATTTTTTTTTTTACCTCAGCGGCGTCCAGGGCTTAGGCATTGGGAGTCCGACTCGTAATTCCAACGCACTGTGATCAAAACCCACTGCTGGTTGCGTGGATTTTTTTTATTGTATGGGGGGTTGCAGGTCAACCCAGCCTAAAATGGGTACCAGGATGTATGTCCTGGGGAAAGTAAAGACGGCCGGCGTAATGCTGACCACATTACCCACCTAGTGCTGATTGGTCTGTAAAAAATGTGGGTGCTCCTCCCATATTCCTGATGCGCCTAAGGTGTAAAAATGGATCTTTACTTTACTTTTTGATCTGATCAACAATCACACAAAAAAACTCAGTGACCCAATGATAATGTTATGGGACTATATAGACATACAGTATGTTAAAGAGTTAAATCAATTACACATAACAATATACATTCAGATGTTCCTCCGAGGTGATGGTGTTAAATAAATACCTGATAAACAGTTAACAATAACCTGAGACCTAACGACATACAATGGTATAGGACTACAGATAGATACAGCAGGTAAACAAAAAATATATATCGATCACGTACATTCAGATGTTCCTCGGAGGTGATGGTGTCAGGTATCCCTTCGTCCACCCATTTACCTTTGCTGACCTCAAGGCTGAAATTCTCAAACACCCTGTCGACAATGTATGCTGGACGCAGGTGAGGGGCCGTCACCATGTTGAATGTGCACTCAGGGTGCTCCCAAACCCATGGGCTATCCTTGGCTGTGTGGTTGTAGACAAGATCAGACAAACTCATCACCTGCAAAACAACACATTTGATTGCTTGAAATCCCACACCCACAGATACTCTGTCTCCCATAGCAACTATCATTTGGAGTTGATATCAATTGTTTAAGTACCATACTGGTTGTTCACTGATCCTCACATCTGCCTTGCCTGACCCATACTTGGGCTGTTAGAACAAGATTGATCTCACAGCTGTAGGGGACAGAAAAAGTTGCGACAGCTAGACAAAAGTTAGCTGATGTAACAAATGGATGGGACAAAAGAATTGTAGACAGCTAGACAAAAGTTAGCTAATGTAACAAATGGATGAAACAAATGAATTGTAGATAGCTAGACAAAAGTTAGCTAGGTAACAAATTGAGGAAACAAAAGAATTGACAGCTAGACAAAAGTTAGATATGTAACCAATGGATGGAACAAAACAAATGTAGACAGCTATGAGAAAAAAAAGCTGATGTAACAAATGAATGGAACAAAAATGTAGACAGCTAGGAAAAAAAAGGGTGATTTATTAATATCCTAGCCCAAACAGGATAGATACACAGGTCATGCGACAGTCTAATATTTCAGGGGGTGGTAGATAGGCTGCATGCAGTCGTGGGACCTAGGCTGCACTCTCTCATGAGACGTAGATGCGTTGAGGTTAGGGCCAGTTCTAGATGTTTTGGGATCGTTTAAAGCACCAGATAGCCGGGAAACCGAGTCTTACCACCCTCTAAAATGTTGGACTGTCCTGTGATGTCATCTTGGGTAGGATTTTAATTGAGAACCAAAAAAAGCTGATGTAACAAATGAATGGAACAAAAGAAATGTAAACAGCTAGAAAAAATAAAGCTGGTGTAACAAATGGATGGAACAAAAAAAAAAAAACTGTAGACAGCTATAAAAAAAAAAAGCTGATATAACAAATGGATGGAACAATAGAAATGTAGACAGCTAGAAAAAAAAAGCTGATGTAACAAATGGATGGAACAATAGAAATGTAGACAGCTAGAAAAAAAAATAAAGCTGATTAAAAAAATGGATGAAAAACAAAAGAATTGTAGAAAGCTAGAAAAAAAATTTGTGTTAACTAATGGATGGAACACAAGAATTTGTTACTGCGAGAATGAACAAACGAACAAACATTTTTTTTTATTTTTGGTCTTTCATTAGAAAAAAAAAAGCTTTGTATAAATGGATGCGACAAAAGAAGTTAACAGCTAGAAAAAAATAGCTGCCGTTATAAATGGATAGCACATAAGAAAATGACAGCTGGGGAAAAAATTAAAAGATGGTGTAACAAATGAATAGGACAAAAGAAGCTGTGACTAGAAAACTTGTTAGTTGCTGTAACAAATGGATGGGACAAAAGAAAATGTGATTAGAAAACTTGTTAGTTGCTGTAACAAATGGATGGGACAAAAGAAGGTGTGACTAGAAAATTTGTTTGTTGCTGTAACAAACGGATGGGACAAAAGAAGTTGTGATTAGAAAACTTGTTAGTTGCTGTAACAAATGGATGGGACAAAAGAAGGTGTGACTAGAAAATTTGTTTGTTGCTGTAACAAATGGATGGGACAAAAGAAAATGTGATTAGAAAACTTGTTAGTTGCTGTAACAAATGGATGGGACAAAAGAAAATGTGATTAGAAAACTTGTTAGTTGCTGTAACAAATGGATGGGACAAAAGAAGGTGTGACTAGAAAATTTGTTTGTTGCTGTAACAAATGGATGGGACAAAAGAAAATGTGATTAGAAAACTTGTTAGTTGCTGTAACAAATGGATGGGACAAAAGAAGGTGTGACTAGAAAATTTGTTTGTTGCTGTAACAAACGGATGGGACAAAAGAAAATGTGATTAGAAAACTTGTTAGTTGCTGTAACAAATGGATGGGACAAAAGAAGGTGTGACTAGAAAATTTGTTTGTTGCTGTAACAAACGGATGGGACAAAAAAAAAACTGACAGCTTGAAAAAAGGTTGGTGTAACAAGTGAATGAGAAAACAGAATTTGAGACAGCTAAGGAAAAAGTTAGCTAATGTAACAAATGAATGGGACAAAAGAAATGTAGGCAGAAAAAAAATAAAGTTAAGAGTAACAAATGGATAAGGAAAAAGAAACATGGAAACAATAACAAATACAGGGGTTCTGAAAAGATTAGGAATGAAAATAGAGAAGCTGCTATAGGAAATTTCTCTCTCCCTCCCTCTCTCTCTGTCTCTCTCTGCCTCTCTCTCTGTCTCTCTCTGTGTGTCTGTCTCTCTCCCTCCTTTGCATTCACTGATTGTAAACTCCAGCAGAAAGTTCTTGTAGATCCACCTCTGGACTTCAGTCTTTTTTCAGAATTTGATTTTTCATGCACATCCATTTTATAGATCTGGCTTATGTTTATGCGGACTGTTGGTTCTCCGCCTCTCAGGCAGACGCAGACTTAAAAGGAAATGTCCCTAATTAATCGACTTTTACAACATGCTTGTTTGGGGGAGGTTGGTGAGGTGTAAAGTGAGTGGGTCTATTCTTGTTTTCCTCAAAAACGTGGCTCTGGAACCCACACCAGAAGCAGAAGCAAACAAAAGACAAGTGAAATATTTTTGCCATATTTAAAAGACATAACACTCTTCTAAAAACCTACCCAAGGGAAGAGTTGAAGGGAAGTGAGCAAGAGTCAGACAGTGATACAACAAGAACGATAACATCAAGAGATGGACAAACAAAAGTCTGATAAAGTGTACTATCAAGGCAAAAGACAAAAGCATGCTGGAGATCCACTGCAGCCAATGTTGACTGTGGACGTGGCACCTGATTGACTTAAGTCACACCTACACACATCTTCAGCTGAACTTACCCCCCAAGTTTTATTCATGAAGTTGACAAGCTTGACAACATCCTCAAAGTCAAACTTCTGCTCTCCTGGGCTGTATACGGGACTCAGTCTCAGCTGATCACGAATGGAGTATGCTGAGTTGGAAATTCCCAGTTCTTGGATGGGGGTAAAGTGAACCATGTTGTACCCACTTTCAGCCGCAACCTGGAAGATGTAGTGTGAAGAAACTATGTACTGTTAAACTACCAGGATAAAAAAAATCATGAAGCAGATGTAGGCCTGTTTTACTAGTTCTGAGATTTGACATCAGCCATGTTAAACGTTCACTCCTGTCTGGGTCTCAGACATCTAAGATCACCACTGCACCCCAGCAGCTTGTCTTACAATGTAAAAAAATCTCTGCTAAGAGCAGATGGGACAATCTTACAGTTCACACTTCAGTCTGTCTATCTGTCTGCTCCACAGGCACAAGTAGCAGATTCTTTTACGCCTTCTTTGTATAGATGTGCTCTAGGAACACAGTGCCTGAAACCTAAAACTTTATTTTGTTTCTTCCAGCTGAGTGTTTATGCCGTCATTCTCTGGTCTGTATCTGCATTCTGCCTTCTCCTCTCCTTCCTAAAGGACTACTTTAGGACAGTTTTAGTTTCTCTTTAGCTCTGTGGTGGATAATGCTGTAGAACAGAGCTATTTAGCGGCCCACGGGCCAAATGTGGTCTGCGGATCATTACCAGTTGTGATGTATTGTATTCTTCTTCTTCTTCTTCGCATTCACCAGTTGTAAACTCTGGCGGAAAGTTCTGGTTGTTCATCCATCTCTGGACTGTAGTCCTGTTTCAGAACCTGAGTGTTGTGTGTGCATTCGTTTGACAGATCTGACTCATGTATGTGCAGACTGTTGGTTCCTTGCCTCTCAGGCAGATGCACTCCCGACTTTGAAGGAAGCTTCCAATTAGTCGACTCTTACGACCAGATGACACCTCATCATTCCTAATAAAATTTATCCTGCTTCAGTCTACTTTACATAAAATGTTACACATCAAAGTTGTGACCTACCTGTAATCTAGGCAACCACTCATTGAAGGGACCCAACAGTTTTGTAATGACTGTCTGGCAAACAATGGCGTCCATGTTGATTTCTTCATCGTTGGGTCCCAGATGCAAAGTTGGGTCAACTAAAAAATACCCAGAACCGTTGCAGTTGTCAACTGTAGCACTGGGGGGAAAATAACAATCAATCTAGATTTATGAAATTTAAATGTGAGATATTTACAGGAATGTTAGCATATGTATCTGATTATGGAATCTTATAATCTTCTTCTTGTTCTTCCTGGTTTTTAGATGAGGTGGCTACACAGTCCTCTATGTAGGTTGTGATCATCCTCATCATAAACCACTTCTGCCGTTAACCGTCGTGGGGAGGAGTAATGTGCGATCCAGTGCATGCTGGCTGCACCGGCTATTGTCATACCATGAAGGCGTAGAGTGTCTTTGATGTTGTCGATTCATGTTTTCCATGGCCGTCCTCTGTTTGAGCTTGCTGCATTCTAACGAGATGGCAAAACAACTTGATCTGCTGTTTCTTGATGAATCTAGTACAAGGTGTTTACCTACAATTTGCCTGATAGTTTCATTATTCACTCGATCTCAAATGGTTAGGTTGGCAGCTTTTCTCAGGCATATTTCGCAAGTGGTGATTTTGCGTATATGGGCTTTAGATAGTGTCCATGTCTGGCACTGGTAGCTTAATGTAGGAATGAATTTGCTGTTTATAATCTGTCTAATTGCACTCATAGTTATGCTTGGATGTCTTAATAATGGTGACAATTGGTATATAAGTGCACTTGCTTTCTGACATCTGGTTTCTATTTCTCTGTTAATTTTACCATCTTCTGTGATCATACTTCCTAGATATTTAAACTCCCTAACTTGATTCAGAGCAGAACCATTCAGCTGTATGTGTAGTGGGCCAGGGGTTCTACTAACTTGCATTGTTTCGGTTTTGTTTGCATTTTTATATTTACTTCATGCTGAATTTAACCTGTTAATGTGGTCTTGCAGTCTATCTTCTTCAGGGTAGAACATGCACTGGTCATCAGCAAATAGTAGTCAATTTAATCTGGGCAAATCGATTAACTTCTCCTGATGTGTATACTTCCTCATGATCAATAAAGCTTGCTTTCCACCAGAACATTGAGTTGCCAGACTTTGTGAGGTTTGAAACATCAAACTACACCCACACATGTGCACTCAGTGATTCAATGAGTTTGATCCGGAGGATCCAGGCAGGTTCGGTGTGAAGGAGATGGCCTGAGTCATCACAGAGAAGTCCAGTGTGCCTGGAGTTACCTTTATTTTTGTTCCAGAATACGCGGGTGTCTATGGAAATAAAAGAGCTGATAGGTTGGCTGGATCTGCTATCACTACCAACGGTCAATCTATGTATCATGCTGATATTATTAATTTCCTCTGAGAAATGGAAATGGTGGAGGACTTTGTGGACAGTTAATCCACATCACTCGCCAGAATGATAGACTTGGGAGTTAAGATCAGCATAGCAAAAAACGAGATGCACACCAGGCACATCAGAAGACTATTGTTAATCAACATAGAAATGGTACAATTAGCCAACAGACGCTAGGGCTCATACTGAGAGAAGGATGTGAGCACCAACAGAGATGTCCGTAGTGATGTGATGATAACCCAACTAACTAACTTAACTAACCTGGAATCTCCTTACACCACGTAGAGAGCAAGTCTGTAGCATACGTTCAATATTCTATGGTGCCTGTTCATGTGGGAAAAGTTCTGAGTCCCCAATCTTTAATGTCCTGTACATTTAACTAAGGAGTCTGTTCTGTCCAGTTCACAGACTAAATATAATGGGCTGTTGCTTTCGTTGGGGGGTTTATTTCATCTTCTGGCTGAGAAGTGTTCTTATGGATTCTAATGGCTGCCTTGATCTTGTGTTTATCTCATTAACAATCATGAACTCTTTCCTGAATCCAATCATCAAGCATATGAGCCTTGAGCTTAACTGGTTACATACTAGCCCCATATGTTTATAGACCAGTCAGCATGTGATTGGTCATTTACTTCCCACAATATTTCCTGGATATTCAAACATGTCGTACCCATTTCTGATTGGTTTAACCTAGGAGATCCCTTCAATTGTTAAAAACTTCTTGCCTCACTTGAGTTCTGAACATATGACCCCTGGACCAAAAGGCAGCAGTGCCAGCTATTGTGCTATTCCACCTCAACTATTTTCGTAGGTGGCCAAATAAACAGAGCTAAGGGGTACAAATTCATTACCTCGCACCTGCGCAAAATGGGGAATTACAAGATATGACAGAATCACATCACTAAATGTGGAGATCGTGGAAACTAATTCCAGTGAATCAAGAGATAAGGAAAAAGATGCTGCCACTGGATAGGACACCCACTGAAAACATAACACTACATACAACTAGAATACCTCTGCATTATAACCCCCCATGGTTAAAAAAATATGGAGAAGAAAAGCAGAAAGAAAAGTGAATTAATATGGGAAAGATATGTTGTGAGCTGCATATGATAGCAAAGAATACGATGAGCGTGTATTAAATGGTTGAGACTTTATGCTACACTAGGGTGTACACAGAACACAAGAAGAAGAATAGGTTATGAAAATCAACAATACCTGCCATCAACTGTAAAGAAATAGTTGAAAGATCCTGCAATGATCATCTTGACTTCCGCAGTCAAATCCATCCTGTCTCCCACACCAGCAGAAAACCTGAAGGGAACCTCATAGTATTTTGTCCGTTCATAGGGTGTGTCCTTGTCACGTGGATGGTTGCAAAACAATCGCACAGAAGAAGCCATCAGACTTGGCCCTAACACAACACGTAGCACCCATCCTGTGAACATTGCAACGTAAACATGGTCAGGAATTCAACACATCCAGGCAGCTTGGGTCTCATCATGGTAAACAAAACTGTCTTTAATGCACATATTTAACACTTTTATCGTGGTGTTGAATGGTGGGGAGGGGGTGTAAACCTGCAAGGCCAGCGCAGTCATCACCAACTGTGCAGGTTAGAACTTTTATTTCTGCCTTAGAAAATATCTCCATCCCTTACCAAGGTTCGCAACCAGCCCTTAGTGCTCTAACCACTCGCCCATCAACTTCCTCCTTGGTACCGCAAGGGACTTTTATCTTTCATGGGTAAAATTACATCCTTAGCCTAAATACTGCGTACTGCTTGTAAAGGGCCTCTTTTTTCTTAGGCGTTATAAAAACTTTCTTGGTACCAGCAGTGATATCATCTTCAACATCATCATACAGCATCACCTTAGCAGTGATGGTTGTCGTCAATAAATTTTTCCAAGTTTCTGTCCTCAGTGATCATTAGAGGAAAACTAGGACTGAAACCAATAATACAGACAGAGGGACAGCAAAAACACTCATAGAAAAGAATCAAAGACAAGAGTTGAAAAAAGGTAAAGTCGGGAGATGTGAAACAGCATCATTGCCCACAGTTATAAAGCCTAAGTGCTCTGCCACCAGTACTGAAAGCTGATAAGAAACTGTCCGCCTGTGTCGCCATCCGCAAGCAACTCTGTAGCTACAGCACGGTTTCTCCATTTACCCAAGAGTATACTCTGGTACCCATTACCTTGAGGCTGGGTGAACCCCCGGAACTGCTCGGTTTTGAACACCGGCAATAGCTGCAGGGAGTCGCAGCTGGATTTAAAAGCGAGTCTCCTAACAACTGAGCTAACACAGCTTCTAGACAAGAGTTAAATAATATAGGACATATATGGAGTGAGCTGCCCAAGATGACAAAAAATAAGACAGCATTGACACCGAGTTGGCTTTGGGCATATACTCCAACAGGGGATAAAGAACAGTAGCAGAAGGAGGATGAAGATGCAGAAGAGAAGAAGAAGAGAAAGGGGCATGACACCACAAACATTCTACCTTTCTCCAAACGGTAGAGTTTGTCCTGGCTGTTCTCTCCCTGTTTTAGGGTTAGCACCCTGACTTGTGGAAGGGGCATTTTCTACCTTCCTCTGAAAGAAACAAAACATGTTGCTAGCAAATGTATATACTAACTACTATAGAAAAACACACAAGTATACATACTAGAGAAAACATATTTCATTATAATTCACCACTTTAATTAGTGGATAAGAATGGGGTGATTACTTTGCCACAACATGTAGTGATGCAAGGGGATATGGGGTCACAGATAATGCAGTGACCATCATCTTCTTCTTCTGTACATTCATCGGCTGTAAACTTCAAGTGTTCGTCAGCTCCAGATTTTAGCCTTGTTCCAGAACCTGAGTGTTGCATGCATATTCATTTAACAGTTCTGGCATATTTATATGTACCTTGCCTCTCAGGCAGATGTACTCTGACTCTGAAGGATGTCCCCAATTATTTGACATGCTTGTTGGGGATACAGTGAGTATATTCTTCTCCACAATGGGGCCTCAGAACCCACATGACGAGTATGGTAACCAGTTTCTCAACCTGCTGCCTTGTCTTTGCAAATAATTTTGATAAGCTTAAATTAACCACAGCTGACTTCACAAAGCTGGTCTGAAACACAAGAATCAGATGAGTATGCAACAAACCTGCCACAGTTGGTGTTCAAAACCGGGCGGTTCCTGGGGTTCACCCAGCCCCCAGGTAATGGGTACCAGAGTTAACACTCAGGGGTAAATGAAGGAACGTCGCTGTAGCTATGGAGTTTCAAGCGGACAGCGACACAGGCAGACAGTTTCTTGTCAGTTGTCCATACTGGTGGCTGAGCACTTATGGTTTTTTACCTTTATCTTTACTTTTACCTTAACTGAGAACTGAACCAACACTGCTGTTTTGAACTCTAAAAGCACTAACTGCTCAATCAGTGGAGAATCTTTTAGAAGAGGCTCAGTTCAGCCTATCTATAAATTAAAAATATGTCCAATTCTCAGCATTCTTGAGAGGGAGACTGTATAATTTTGGTAGCAAATATTGTGACTGCAATGAGGGAGGTCAGGTTTATGTTACCCTGACAAGGTGACTAAACAGGTACCTCACCCAAGGGTGTACCGCAGGCAAGTGGAGGGAGGCACCTTAATTCTCCACAGAAACAGGATACCCCACTACTCCATCTCGACTAACATCATGCATTAATAATCAAGTACATGTGACATTGACATGAAAGACTATGTACTTAACCCACAAACTGCAAAGAAAACTAAAGAAAAACTAGAAGACAATATCAACAAATACATAATGAAAGAAACAAATACAGGCTAGGCATCAACAGTCAAAGAGGGCGAGGGAGACAATGGCAGAAAAACATGCCTGAGTGTCTAACACAAAAAGGAACACAAGAATAAATACAGTTGTTTTGTATTTCAGTGAGGCTGGGAAACACAATAATAAGCTTTAATGTGTTAGCTCTCACTCTGGTATTATAAAATTTAACACTCAGTTCATAGGAAACACCCCCATGACCACCCCCCCCCCCCTCCCCCCCCCCAATCCCCCCAGATGCACAGCTATCAGTTATCTCTTCCTTCCTAAAAGTATACATGTTTAATATAGCAGATACACAAAACAGATGCACATCTATCAGTTATCTCTTCCTTCCTAAAAGTATACATGTTTAATATAGCAGATACACAAAACAGAAGCACAGCTATCAGTTATCTCTTCCTTCTGAACATTATATATGTTTAATATAGCAGATACACAAAACAGAAGCACATCTATCAGTTATCTCTTCCTTCTGAACATTATATATGTTTAATATAGCAGATACACAAAACAGAAGCACATCTATAAGTTATCTCTTCCTTCTGAACATTATATATGTTTAATATAGCAGGTACACAAAACAGAAGCACAGCTTTCAGTTATCTCTTCCTTCTGAACATTATATATGTTTAATATAGCAGGTACACAAAACAGAAGCACAGCTTTCAGTTATCTCTTCCTTCTGAACATTATATATGTTTAATATAGCAGATACACAAAACAGATGCACAGCTATCAGTTATCTCTTCCTTCTGAACATTATATATGTTTAATATAGCAGGTACACAAAACAGAAGCACAGCTTTCAGTTATCTCTTCCTTCTGAACATTATATATGTTTAATATAGCAGGTACACAAAACAGAAGCACAGCTTTCAGTTATCTCTTCCTTCTGAACATTATACATGTTTAATATAGCAGATACACAAAACAGATGCACAGCTATCAGTTATCTCTTCCTTCTGAACATTATATATGTTTAATATAGCAGACACAAAACAGATGCACAGCTATCAGTTATCTCTTCCTTCTGAACATTATATATGTTTAATATAGCAGACACAAAACAGATGCACATCTATCAGTTATCTCTTCCTTCTGAACATTATATATGTTTAATATAGCAGACACAAAACAGATGTACAGAGACTCCAAGAGATTAATGATCAGTACATCTAATGTATGTAATCGTCACTACACTTTCATTAACTGTAACGGATACAAGCTACAGGTTATTAGTTATACGATGTTAGATGCGCACGCATACTCTCAACAGTGAAGCGACAAGGAGGAAAATATCAACCAGTTACTTTCCTAACAGCCTTTTCTTCCAAGGAAAAAAAAAATAGGTTTCCTTGTTGTACTTTACCAACAACTCTCCTATGTCGATAATTAACGTGGCTGTTTTCCTCGCCTTATCTGGGAACTAACCTTGACACATTTCACAGACCGGGACGCCGGTAAACCGCGTGTTTATCTCGCTAGCTGATATATGTCCTAGCTCTGTATCATGTTTAGTCTCCGTGGTGAAGTGGTTAAATCGCTGGCTCTACGCTCTGATGGTCCTGGATTTGTTTTCGGACACAGTTGTTTGTTATGTTTCGGAGGCTGTTTGTTCCTCTCGGGCAGATACACTTGGACTTCGGAGGAGACACTTCTAATTAGTCGCCTTTTATTATACACTTTCCCCGTGTGGGTTCCAGGGCCCCACTGAGAGGAAAACAAGAACAAACCCACTGCCCGCCGAAAAGCATGCCGTAAGAGTCGACCATCTGGAAGGTTCCTTCGAAGTCGTAGTACATCTGCCTGAGAGGCAAGGAACCAATAGTCTACATGCAAATGAGTCAGACCTGTTAGATGAATGTGCACACACGCAACATGTAATTTCTGGAATATGACTAGTCCACAAGTGGACGAACAACCAAAACTTTCCGCCGGAGTTTACAGCAGGTGAACGCGAAGAAAAAGATGACACACTTATTAGAGGGCAGTAGAGCTAAGTCCACCCCCCCCCCCCCCTCCATCCCCCCAATGGGGCACTGGAAACCACAAAGATGGATGCAACCAGATCGCGCCTAGCAGCTGACTTCGAACTGTGATGCGTCATCACTGCGTTCTCAACCCCTAAGCCAAGGGCTATTCAACTAAGTTTACTTAGGGGTCAACATTCGGAAAATTGAGAGTCGTCACGGGCCAGAAGCTTCAGCCCCAGCATAGCAAGAACTGGCAGTGATTCGCGGGCCACTTGCTTGGCGTTCGCGGGCTGCCAGTTGAATAGCCCTGCCCTAAGCCATCGACACCATAAAACCGACTTGCGTAATAATCAGGGCTGCCATTGGGATTTTTATCAAAACCCAAGCTAAGCTGACCGGTAAAGTAAGGGAAAACGTACGTGTATGTCCACTGTGAAACGATTTCATAGTATCATCATAATTATATAATTATTAAAAAGGAGAAGAGGGGAAGGGGTAGAGACAGAGGGGAAGGGGTAGAGACAAAGGGGAGAAATAAACACCAGCATCGCCCCCCCCCCCCCCCCCCCAAAAAAAAAAAAAAAAAACTAAGCAATACACAACAACAACAAAATGGATTTTAAAAAAAGTACACATTGTATATTACGAAACATTTACCCAAGATTTCAAAACCTGAACCCAAGGCGTTAAATAAAAACCCAGATCTTGGTTTTTTTTTTTGGGGGGGGGGGGGGGGGGGGGGGGGGGGGGGGGGGGGGGGGGGGGGGGGAGTACTGGCAGCTCTGGTAATAATATAACTACTGCCCTTGAGTTGTGGACGGAAAAGTTCAACGGTTGCGGACGGAAAAGTTCAAAGGTTGTGGGTGGAAAAGTTCAACGGCTGAGATCTAAACGAAATAATATGCGAACCTGTAACCAGGTCAGTGCAAAGGAAAGTAGCAGCCAAGCAAAATAAGGGCAGTCGCGGCGGTAGCCTAGCAGCTAGATGTTCGCTTGCCTCCCTGTCCAAAGATCCTGGGTTCGAATTTGCACTGAGACATATATTTTTTTTTTTTAATTCATATTTGACCTTGGTTCCCAGTCTGTAATAGTTAAGGTGACCAGGGCTTTTGATTCTTATTTTCGTTGGCCTGAAATAAGTTGTAAATAACTGAAAGTTTATATTAAGTTGTAAATTGAATTCTTCTTTAGCGTGATGCTGACCATCCCACCAACCGAGCGCCCACTATTCTATACAAGTGAGTCCAGGATGGTATGTTCGATGCGCCGCTAGCGCAGAAAAGAGGGTCCTTGACTTTACTTATGCGAATGAATGAATGATCAGCTCATTCAGTGAGCTATTCTGTTCAATGGATAAGAGGTTTGAGGTCTGAACAACGGATCAAAATCATGGCACACGAGGAGTAACTAATGTGATCCGTTCTTTCTTCTAACTCATGTCGAGGAGATCTTCAACTCAAATTTGCCCGGGCAGCGCCGTCAGGCTACTCTTTTCGATTTACAACTCCCAAGGGATTTTTTACGTGCGCAACAATGCACACGGGCGTCCGATCTCACTACCCAAACACCAGGGGAAATTCTAGAAGTCCAAGTCCACGTGAAATAATCCCAGCCCTCTCCGGGGATTGAACCCGGAACCCACTCGAGGTGAACACCATGCCTTGAGACTATGCAGCCCCCTTTAATGGATAAAGGTCTTTCTAGAGTAGTTAAGGCAGTTATCTGCCAGTTGCTGCCGTTGGGATGTAAGCCTTAACATTTTCTATCCAGG